TTGGTTAGATAGCATATATAAAGGCAAAAGTAAAGCCTTCTTCATTCTTGCCAATGCCTTTCTAGTCTTTAATCTTATTTCAAGACTTTCTAATCTTCTTGTCATTGGCAATAGCTATCCTAGTTTAATATTATATCATCTTTGAGTGATTATATAGTCCTTTCAAGTGACATAAGAGTGTCTTGATCTTTTACTTCTTCAAAATTCATATCCCTCATAAAAAATCCTTAAAATTTTGATGTTGTTGTAGTAAACTTTTTGAGTATACTAATTCTTGTCTCCCTTGTATTTATAAAAGTAAGACTTTTTAGATTTGGTTATGAGGTCAATATACTTGCTTCCTTCAACTACACATCTTTTTGGTATAGATTCTAAACTTCTTCTATAAGCATAAGAATAATGCTTTTGTGATTGGCATTAGTGATGCATGAAATTTCTACCTAAAGAATATTGACAAGTTTGTAAAGATCTCCAATATTTGCAAATCTATTTTCACTTTTGCTAAGTATACCATCTATGATTTTTCTATCCATTTCAAATAACTTAATAAATCCATAAGTCAAATTAGAGAGAGATAATTTGCAACCTCTAATATCAAATAAAAATTTCTACAAAGAAGGATGATCTACTTTCTTTAAGAAAAAAATGAAGGTTTAGATAACAAAAAATATTAGTTTCAAGGTGGATAATATATAACTTTTGAAATACAATAATAGAAGTGAGGTAATCCACTCACTTTTAAAACACAAATTAAGAAAAATAAATTCTTCACTCTTGTTGAATTGTTTAAGACATGAATGAAGACAAGAAGAATTTCATAACACTTTTCTATAACTTAAGAAAAATAAATAATCACTTCAAAAGTATTATAGTATTAAGACTAAAATGGCCATTGCCAAAGATAAGAAGGGTATAGACTCTTGAAACTAGACTAAAAATAAAAAAATATTGATACAAATGAAGAAGTCTTTACTCTTCCCTCCATATTTACTATCTAACTAAGAGTTATGTATTGACATCCTATAGATCCTCCAACATATGTCTAATTTGCAAGACACATGTCTAACTTACAAGATAAGTTTTTTATATATGCACCACCTAATTAGCTTGTTTTACAAGCTACTAACACATACAACATGTAATTAACTTGTTGGCCAAGTTTCTAACTTATCAATCAACTATAAATATATCTAAAGTCAAATATGCATCTATAAAGCTTCTATGAAGTTATGCTAAAAAATATCATCAAATCTACCTATATTTATCTTCTACCTAACACTTCTTATCTATATCTATAATAGCTCCACATCTTCAATTAATAGTTACAATATACCTTTGTGCCTCTATACCTCAAGCTATTTTTATTTTTTTGCACTTATGATTTTGATTTTTAAACTTTATAAATTGTCACTATCTAAATTCTATCTTGTAATTATATCTTTAGTACATCCACTTCTGTACCTTCCAAAAATTGAAACTATTGTATGCAACTACCTTATGCTTAATAATCCTCATGATTGTGGTTCCTTTAGATTTACTTTGGATGACAATTTGTTACACCTCTTAGTGAATTGTTGTTGTAGAGGGATTTATTTAGGAATTGATTTGGTGATACCACAATCCAATTGGCTACAATACAAGTAATAAAACTTGTTGGTAAGTGATTTCATTATTTGTCTAGTATACTCTGTGTCATTTTATTTTATGCATAAGTATAAAGTTCTATAGATTGAATGTGATTTTATATCATTGGATTGAATAGCCTTGAGTATAAAAGAGGCTTGTAGAGGTGAGACATATTAAAGGTGTGGGACTAGAAAATTGAGGAAGAAGTCCAAGACTTGTTGCAAGACTAGGAATTGTAGTAGGATAAAAGAGACAAAGTTCAATTTTTTTTTTGGAGGCTTTGACTTTAGAAACCACTTTCAATGATTAGCCATTGGAACCATCAAAAGAGGTTATTTCACCTCATAGTCATTGCAAATATCAATCTTTATACATTATCAATTAACCAATCAGAGGCTTTTGTTTGTTTTGAGTATTTATAAAATAATTTGGAATGTGTTCATAGCTTTGAGCTTTGAATTGAAAACTTTCTGCATATATATAGACATGCAAAATTATATATATATATATATATATATATATATGTGTGTGTGTGTGTGTGTGTTGTTCAAATTAATGGTATATAAAATTCATCTTACATATGAATAATAAAGAAAAAAGTACAAAAAATAATATTACTTCTTATTTTAAACTTTTAGAGTTTTAACCAATGTTAAGATTGTTTTATAATTAGTTGTTTGATTTGGAATAAAAAAGAAATAAATAAATACATATATTAGTAAATAATATAATAAAATAAAATTTTACCATAATTCATAATAATAAAAAATTTATATCAAGATTTTTTATTTTTTATTTTTTAAAAAGATTAATTTTTGAATATGAATGTTTATAGTAATAATAGAAAAAATACTATAGTATTATATAGAATATTAAAAATAAAACTAAAAATTATTAAAGTAATATTTTTAATCTAAAAAATAAACTTTATCAAAAAAAATAAAAATAAAAACAAGAACATAGAAGTAAATTAGTTTCTATAGAATTGCATTTCTAAAACTTAGATTGTGCTAAGAACTTAATATAACATTACTACAATTATCATAAATAAAGTCATTTTAAAATATAAAGTGGTAATTTTTTATTATTACAAAACTTATGGCTCTATCAATATTTGATTTTATTTATATATATTTTTTAGTTTATTAGTATCTTCAATCAATCTTATTAAATTCTTTAATTCTATTAAAATCCTAGGCTAACTTAAAATAATAAAAGTATAATTATAATAAAAAAAAAATCAATTCAAAAAAATTTACAATTAAAATTACTTATATTAAATTTTATTTTTAAAAAAATAATAGCGTCTTTTTTATTCATCCATCTAAATATGATTTTTTTATTAATTTAATAAATTTCTACATTCCATAACAAATATGTTATTTTTAAGTAATTATCTAAGTTTAATATTGGTCTACATAGATATGTTATTTTTTATTTTATATTTTTATATTTTAATATCAAACTTATATTTTAATATAAATACATAATCATTGATAATTATAACTTTTAAAGAATAAAAATTATACTTGAAGAATTTATTAAAAGAAAAAATAAAAATTTGATTTTCTAATCTATAATATATTTTAGTTCCTAGATTGTTTTAGTTTATTATAATATGTTTTAGTTTTTAGATTTTTTTTTAGATTTGTTTGATTTTAATTCATTTTCAATTATATAATAATGTTACAAATTGTTTAATAGTTCTATAATAAAACCTGAATTTACAGATTTAAATAAAACTTTAATTGTTCTCCATACAACAAATGATTAAGATTTTATGATCTGTTGATTTCTTTGTTGAGAGATAAAATCTAAATTAGAATAAGTTTTAGTATTTGGTAAAAATTTGGAATCTCATGAACTAAAATATTAATTTTAAAGAAACATAAACCAAAAATGGAGTGTTTTTGCTTAACTTAAAAATAAAGAGACAAAAATAAATCTTCTTATATATTATCAATTGAAACTTTAATAATATTAAAATGTTGTAATTCAATTTTAAAAAATATACTAAAATATAATAAAATATAATAGAATAAAATATTAATAACCTTGCACTAGCCAATTACTATTTTGTATTATCTATTTTAAAAGTATATTTCCAAAAAACATCTTTTTATCTTTATTCTTTTAATTTTCTTTTATCCTATTGTGAAACTTAATAAATATATATTATAATATATGATATTAAGCTATGTTAATCTAAAAAATATATATAAATTATTTTTTAATCCAATGAAAAAAATCCTCTAGAAATATTATCTTAAAAAATAGCAATTTTGTAGACAAAGTTCAAATGGTAATAGAATTCTATTCTATTCTAATAAGTTTATTTTATTTTTGAACAACACAATCTTCCTAAAAAAATTCTACTCTAAGAATAAAGAGCTCTTTACACCTAGAAGCATGCTTTAAAAACCATAGTTAAAAAGCCTTACTTAAATCCCTTACTTGGTGTAGAAAAGCATTCCTTTTGAAGCTAAAGCCTATGAATAAGGTATAAAGAGAGAAGAGATTATAAAATAAATCAAATCATTTTTATTTTTACAAATCTAAATATGTCAAACTATGCTTGAATTCAAGCACTTATATAAAGTACAAAAAACTTCATCTCTTAGTTTAAAATGGTTATTTTGAGCAATTCTTGAGAAAACTACATATTTTCTATAAACCATCTCTTCAATATGAACCCAATAAAAATTCCAAACAACCCTATTCATGCCATGTAAAAAATACAATTCAGTCCACCTTATCTTTTCATTTTAAAATATTTTGACTTATTTTCCCAACTATAAAGCTAATACATGAGGCTTCTTGAATTTGTCCAATCGAAACATTCTAAATCAGTAACTCTCTCCTTTCCCCTAAATAGATGATACCTCTAAATCCATCATCTATTCTTCAATCCAATCTTCAATGCATTTATAACATCTAGATTTTCACACGGACACAAAATTCAACCAACTTAGAAATCTATTTCAATCTGTGTTGTACATGATGCATTGATGTGACAAACTAACAGGTGGTGAAACAATTTCCAGATTTAAAACAATGTCCCGCTTCCAAATCAAGTTCTTTCCATACAAGTTCATAGAGGCTGCAACCTTAAGTTGATTTAAGTAAAAGAATGAATATATGATTTACTGGCGGCAATATTATATTCAAAGAACAAAGACATATCTCTAAGTAATGTAACTAATAATATTAAACAGGCCAAGAAAGCCTAAAACTAAATAAATAAAAATTAAACACCTCCAACATATAATGCTGTGACAACGCATACGAAATTCTGCACGTCCAAATTATTAGAAGCCAACCTATAAACAGACAAACAACTTCGAATTCAAATAAAACATTTCTACTCACCGAACTCAATCCTCCACGCCCACCAACCACCCAAAAACCGCATGCACTCCACCACAATCCAGAAAACAACAAAGCCACCTATTCGACAAGTCACGCCCTCCTTCAAAAACCCCACCGTTTCCATGCACAGTAAAACCATCACTGTCCAGATCCTACACATATCCAACGTATTTCACCACTAACCACCCACTAGTCCAAACCATGCCCAAATATCTCCTCACACTCACTCATACACCCATCCATATACCCATTCGCCAACCCCATCCAAACAAATCACTCATGTCATGAACCATCCAATACCCTTCACTGATGCCACATATTCCACATTCCTCCGCCATCATA